GCAACTACAGGATTCTTGACAACACCGTTATCGTCACACAATTCGGAGTCAGACCTGGAGTTTACATTTAGCTTATCACTAAACTTGCTCACTGATTCACAGTTCATCTTTGTATGCACTTCTTGCAAACGTGTAAAACACAAATGTGTTTGCTTTGCAGCTTGTATCTTATCCGTTGAGGATGTACCACGAAACCTGTTACACCCACTAGGTCTATATGCATTACTAGACATCATGGAGCCTTCTCGATATCCACCTCTCTGTGACCCTTTCGTCATCAATGCTTGCGTTTTGCACTCAGACTGCTCTATTCTAGGTGTGGGATATAATATACTGGCAAACTTGCTTATTGATTATAAATAAATAAATAAATTTATTCTCATGATACACTACATGGGGGGCGTCGGTGGTATAGCGGTTAGGACGCTCGCCGACCATGCATATGGTCCGGGGTTCGATCCCCGGCCGGCGCACTCCTTTACCTCACTGAGCCAGAAATAATGCTGGTAAAGCGGAAAGGTTGGGCATGAGGCTAGCAACCCCATCCTGTAAAAATTAAACACTGCTACAGAAACTTTAAGCCACTAGCTTGGAGCCCTATGTTCCACTGGGAACGTGAAGGAAAAAACTAACTAACTAACTAACTAACTACATGGGGGACGCCAGTTTACAGGCATCATCAAATTGTTACAGAAATAGGACCATATTATTCAGTCACATTTTACAGTCGATGGCAAAATATGTTTAACATGTACGCTGGAGATTATACATACACTTGATAAATGTTAATCCCAAACGTATAAAACATCCTTTTCACTTATGTACAATCATTTCTGTGCATAGTTGGAAAAATCTGCTAGATTGTCAGTGAGTGCAACACATCAGGAAATACAGAAGTATTGTCTTCGCATTAACAAAAAAACCAGGTCTTTGTTGGATGGGTTATAAGTGCCTGGGAAAAAAATAAAGCTTGAAGTTAATTTTCGTACATTACTTTGTTGTGTGTAGAGTCCTTGAATAATAGTTCATTGATGTGTTATTTTGAAATCAGTGATATGTTTATCTCATTTGATCTGCAATTTCATTGTTGGGAGTAAAATACATAAGCTTTAGAAGCATTAATTAATGGAGTTCTACTGCTTGTGGATATTTACTTCTCGTGAGGAAGGTTTTTGAATTTTAGTTGTTCCGACAGGAGTTGTGGATATTGACTGCTCAGCAACATTACGGATATAAGTTCATCACACTATCTTAGGAAAGTTGGGTTGTAGTTGGTGAGGCATATGTGATGCCCGGCGAGCGTACATCTGTCCATGTGATGTTGTGGTGAGTTATGTCTTTTTCATATTGTCGGTTTGTGTCCATTTTATTCCACTTATTGTGTTGGGTAGAAGTTTTACAAACGAAACTTCTTGTCTGTTTGAGGGTAAGTATATTAATCGTTAATGTTTTATATAAAATTATAAATATAGGCAAAAACGACAGGTGTAGTATTTAAGCTTATACATTAAATGGACCTATAATTTCGGAGGCTCTCAGATAGGATATAGGACTACTATCGTTTGCAAACTCTTGTAGTTTGTCGTTAAGCACTTTTTTGAATGAGGCCAATGTACCTGTTTGACGCATTTCCATCGGTAGTTTATTCCATATCTGTGCATACCTAATCAAGTAAAACTTTTGCCTGGTAGCTGTTTTACATTGTTCGATAGCTACTGCACACTTAGTGTGTCTTAGTTTGTAGCCACTGTCATCTGAAAGTCGAATGCCATTAATAATAATATTAATTTATTTTCATATAAACATTAATTTACATGAAAATGCATGCCATTTTTACAGGCACGATCAAGTATGTTATAATGTCAAATCTTAAATTGTCTACAAGTGAATAATGTTTCAGCAGTTAAATATTTGATATATATATATATAATTACACTCATTGTCTGAACCAAGCCGTGTAGTTATTGAATTGTACAATTGTCCTCCAGGTTGAGCGGGAAAATCTACTTCGTTTCGTTTTCCTCCCGTGGTTGTAGGAATACGATAACCAACCAATATTGAGGTAAGTACAACGTTTACAAGGGATTGGAAGCTGTTTTAGAAAAGTTAAAGTGCTAAGGTGAAACATTAAAGTGTAATATATTAAGTGAGTGAAATATAACATTAATAAATACATTTATATAGGAAACAGAATGGGGAAGTAATTAATCCTTAGCCCGACAACGTACATTTGCAATGTATAATAATAGTAGAGGTAAAAACTAAGTGGTTTAGAAGCTTATAGTAAAGTGTTAATTTTAGTCTCAGGCGTCTTAGCCATAGTGTTTCTAATCCTAGGATGTCACATCTAGTGGAGTAGTTCGCACCATTTTCGGTTCCGAGTAATTTTGGGGTGAAGTACCTCTGCACTCCCTCGACTTTCAATTTGTCCTTTATGCGTATACTACTACACATGAATGAACAGTAATCAAATGAAGGACGCACACAAACCTTGCACAACAGAATTCTGGACTCATTTCTGTAAAATTTCCTGAGTAGAAAGCCGATAAGTCTGCGTGACTTCGACACTTGTTTGAAGATATGTTCAGAAAATGATAAGTCATGTGAGTATTTCAGTCCTAGGTCCAATACAGATTCCAGTCGTAAGAGTGCATGGCCTTGAATTGTCAGGTAAAGTTCTAAATTGTTGCAACCTATGCAGAGCCAGCCACATTTGTCGACATTAAACTGGAGTTACCAGGTGTCACACGATCTATCCATTTTTTCTAATTCTTGCTGCATGGCGTTTACTGTTATTCCGAGATCTGTGTTCTTGCATTCATAGGTCACTTTTAAGTCATCTGCATATTGACTTACACTATTGTTTACCAGTTTCAGAATATCATCAAACTTTGGCTCGATACCTTTCTCCTCCATACGGGAGCTTATCTTCACCCACTTCCTTTGCAGTCGAGTAGGTAGGCGTCTTGCTATTACTTCTAGTATAAAACTCGAGTTGAGGTCACTCATGCAATTCATCGAAATCAATGCATTCTTGAAAGTCATCGAATTATCTAAAAACTCAGTGAGTGCGTTGGAGTCATCTTGTAATTGACCACCATTACCCTCAACAGCCTCGAATAATTTCCCTGCAATCATCGAAGTGCTTTCAAACCTTTGACGTAGCATATTTCAGGCCTCATCGTAGCCCTCTTTTGGCTTCATAAACTTACAACACTGTATAGTTCTTGAAGCATCTCCAGTGCAATATCTCATCAAATACATCAACTTCATTTCATCGTTTAATAAAAAAACTACTTAACATGATTTCAAACTCTCTTACAAACTGTAAATAGTCGGCTGGGTTTCCGTCGAAACACCGAGGTTCATACTTAGGGAGTTTGATAATCCTACTATCCCTAGACGGCGAAACAGAAACATCAACCATGCCAGGCTTAACATCAGACACATCGTTACAAGTAACAGACAAGTCACCATGACTTACCTTCCTGTTTGCATCCAAGACACTCTGTCCCTTCTTTGACCCAGGCATTATTGAACTTGACCCAATTCCAAAAACGTTCCAGATATTGCTTGTTCAAAGAAGACTTGGCCCACACCAGGAAAGATGAACGGTGAGTATCCGAACTGTCACCAACTGTATAAATCCCTCAGAAACTGACTGCACCGTTAGAAACTGACTTCTATGCCAGAAACTGTCAGCGACGTCTCGTAAACCGTCAATGCCCAGCTCTTGCTACGCTGGGACTCACGCTGTTCCTCGAAGCTTCTCAGAAACGCTTAGCACGAACGGACGCAAAACCCAGAACCCAGTTTGGCGACTCGAGAATTATTTATTCTAACACCAACATATAGCCAATGTATAACTAAGGTCTGTGAACAAATATTACAATAATAAATCACAATACTTCTGATGGTTTTCTCCTGACTTCTTTCTGAACAGCGACCGATGAGACGATGACTGGTGTGTTGATGCCTCCACGAAAATTGGGGAAGTTGGGTTTCAGCAAACAGCCATGAATTGATCCTTCAATCTTCAATTACATTGACAGGGGGATTTCTAGCGAGCTCAATAACAGAGCAATTATTTGATTAAATATCCAAGTTTATGAGATGATAGTGTCACAGTATACTACAAAAAATACAGTAGTGAGTCATACTAATTAAAAGGTTACTTGGACATACAATTAAAGTCCATGGCCAAAAATCATAAACATAATGCACAAGCGTTCAACTTCTAGAATTGTGTCTACTAGTAGAAGCTGAGTTCCGGTTGTAGAATAGTCTTCGGATGAGGATAAGTGGTTCCGGCAAAATTCCAAAGTGTGCAGCATGGTTATGTGTGAAGCAAGTGGAGGGTATAGACTAGTGAGAAGACCAAACGGCTAGCAGTACATTGTATTCTAGATTGTACTCGGAAGTTATCTATACTCGAATATGAATCGCTTTAAACAAAAGTCATGTAGCATGTCTCTAATTTCAACATCTAACAAAAAGGTGTACAATCATAGTGTCGCGTACTCACCACTCCTCAGGGGCGAAGATATATGGCCGGTACAAACTTTATGGACCAACTTACCACAGCCACCACACTAAATCCCATCATTCAGAGGAATATGGCGGTTCGGTCGTCCTCCATAATTTTTTCTGTTCACGATAATATAAATTAAATAGAACCCTAGAACAGAAAATATGTACCGGAAAATAGAAAGATATGAAGTCAAGTAGAATTAGCAGAAAGTGATCGGAACATTTTGCAAAGCGAACTGCCAGGCCGAAATGAATCTAGATAGCTTCCAACGCGATTAACAGAACGAAAATTAATTACTTAACAACGTAAAATTCCGTAACACTTTTTGAGACGTGTTTAATAACTTTTGGAATGACATTCAGGAAAAAGTGATATCCAAGTCTTGAACTGTTCCATTTAGGGTCGAAGATGAAGTGCACGAACGCCATTGGAAAATGAATAAAACAAGTCAAAATAATAACATCAAAGTCCGGGTCATTCAAGAGCTCTCTTTTGGCGGACATTTCGGTTGTAGGCAAGTTGCGTACACTGTTTGGCATGGAAGTACTTCGCAATTGATTTGTATTTAAAAATGTCAGTGAATGTAATTCGTTACATTCATATTTTTCAATAGATCTGAAAGCACTGGCTAGGATTTATTTTTATATTTGACCAAATTAATTTGCCCAAACTATCAAATCGCTAAGCATTTGTCTTGTTTTAAGCAAAATATTTATAGCTGTGTCATTCATACAGCAAATGTCAAAATATGAAGCTGAGTTACGTGTTTAACTTAGTGTGAATTGTTCATGAATCTGTGAATAGAAACCAAATTCATTTCTAAAGAATAGGACAGTTAAACTGTATGTTTCTGTTTTTATGGCATGCAAATTACTAGATTTTTAACCTTACAAAACAATTAAAAGTTCAGTGTTCTTTCACATTTTCTGACTTATCGACTCTCGAAGTAACGTTCTTACTCAACGAAATGAGATTTCAATAAAATGTCATATGGAATGACGCACTTATTTTATTCACTCATTGTTTATTGGGATTTTGTTAACATCATGACAGAAACATCTCCGGTATAATAAGAACACCACTGTTCTCAAACAACACGGGTTGGACAGAGGGCGAAGTCCAACAATAGCGTCCCAGGAGTGCGAACGCCTCAATGACCTTGAACGCATGCTGATCGTTGGCTAGCGTCACCTTTCGTTATCATAGCTGAGATGTCGACGCTATTTATTAAATAAGGAGCAAGTTTCACCCAGATCACGCTTTTAATTACTGTTTGGACAATGTGTTAATATCTCGTTAGGGTTACAGTCATAAATGGGAGTAGGGTTAGGTTTACTGCAGGATAAGGATTGTCATTAGGGTCAGGATTAAGGTTACGGTTGAGATTAGGGATAGATTAATAGTTTATGTCGTTTATTTTAATATGTTTTATTATCCTCATTTTCCTTGTATGTAGTCGTCGATCCTCTAACTGAAACCATAGTATTTTAACCGAGGGCTTTGGAGAGGACTGCACAGCAAGAAAAGAGAAATTAACGATCCACAAAACAGCACATCTTCAGTCACTTTGATGAATACATCTACGTCTAGTCCAACTTAGCAGCTGATACTCTTCATGACTGGAACGTATTTTTGAGTCATATCAGAGATAGATAACCTGTTTAATGTGTTTTCATGCACTTTCTTCTGATTTTACGTCATTTTTTGTGCAAAAATTCCTAATTTTTACGATTGGTTGGCTGAAGGTTACTGGTGCGTTCGCATCCCATGGGACGCTATTATTGAAATTTGCCGGACAGAGTTGCCCATTTGCACCATTTATCTTTAATTTTACTACCGATGATACTCTGAAGATAGCTATGAAGAACGTGCGTATTAGTGATTGTTGTTCAGGTCTGCTTCTGGGAGGCTTATCAACCTTGAGTATGCAGACAATGTTGCCTTACTGTACGTTAATGTGCAGGCCGTCCAAATCGCACTTAATCTATTGGCGATCAGTATTCCTTAGTGCAGTGTGTGCTTTAAACTGTCTAAGTCCTAAGTTTTGTTGTAAGATTAGCAGGAGCCCACTCCTTCACTTACCCTCTCAGGTAAACTGCTTGCTGTTGTCGATAAATTCGTGTATTTATGTAATTGTATGAGTGCTGGAAAAGGTGTAAGTGATGAAATTGCTAGCCGTAAATTAAGAGCTAAGGCGGCGTATGCCGAATTGGACCTCATGTGGCGCCGTCACATGGTCAACCTGGCTATCAAAGGTCGGGTTAACAATGCCCCGGTGTGCGTAGTCTTGCTCTACGCCTGTAAATTCTGGTATCCAAGCTGAGGATGTACGGTGACTCTGCGCAATCGATCACTGCTGCCTCTGTAGAATTGCTTGCATCTGATGGTATTACCATGTAAGTGATTCTGAGATGCCGCGGTGTGTATTTAGACATGGTATATATCTTACAACGCCGGCTTCGGCTTCTGGAACTTGTGCTATGAATGTTATTCCAGTGACTCCCATGTCACTCCTTGTTTGCTAATGCTTGAACTGGGTGGAAAAGGCAAGAGTAGTGAGCATATGACGTGGCACCGTGGAGTGAAGAATATCTGTGTTAGGTTAGTATCCTCTGGTGCATCACTACTGCCTTAGTGGTATCTATGGTATGATTCGAGTCCGCGGCTTGGGACGTTATCAGATTTCACCAAGAGTTGTAATTGGTAGTAAAAATGCAGCGATCTCTCAAATTCTTCCCTTTCTGAAGGTAATATAATGTGATGGACTATTCTCTGAATGATGTCCCTCTTATTCCATCACGACTTTTCTCGTTCTTGAGTGATGCATCTCTTGGTAGCCACATTGTAGCAAGTTCGTTTCAATAATAAAGTTTACTCCGCATCTATGATGTCGTAACTGCATGTGTCAAGACTTTGAAAACAGTTCTGCACGTGTATTTCATATCACGTATCTATCTATTTCCCGTGCAAAGTGGCATAATAAGGTGAGCAACATTGAGGTTAGGCGTAGAGTTCTAGGTAAACAGGGGAAATCAATCGACGAAGTCGTGAAGCTACAAAGACTGAGATGGTTAGGACATGTGTTACGTATGCCAAGCCATCGCCTCCCTCGACGAGCAATGTTAGCGGATATAGGGTCAGGCTGGAAAAAAGCTAGCGGCGGTCAAACAAAAACTTGGCATCAGTCAATGAAATCCACAACAGTTGGTCTAAGCCATGTAGGAAGATGTAGACTTGCAGGCTGGGGTCCTCGGGACGGTAAAAATCTATGGTTGGAAACAATTGGTGACATGGCTCAAAATCGTTCTCAGTGGCGCAGATGCATCCACTCCCTGTGACTTATGATCTTCAATGAAACTGTTTTGTATTTCTTTATTACTCCTTTGTCTCACACCTCTGCTCACTGTTTCTATTATGCTTTTCTTGTACTTTCTTCTCTTGCTTCGCGTGCTACACGGAATGTGGCGACTTGAACTTCCGCACATTTGTGCAAAGTTCTATGTCGAAAACAGACAGACAGACAGATAAAATGATATTGTGTTTAGCGATTCCTCTTAATCTTATTCTGTTGTTTTTTGTTTTATAGATTTCTATTATGCGTGGATTATACTAGTTTATATATTTGATATAAAATGATATCTGGCAGATTAAAAAATTTTCGCAAAGGAATTGAAGATGTACGTGAAGGAAAAGAGCATGCCTTGGAAGCGATTCGAAAAGATTTAACTTCAATACCATATATCCCAGAACTTGGTAAGTGGAGTGTGTTTTGCATGTTTACCATCTTCGATTTCCAGCGAAATTGGATAATTTACGCTCTCTAACTTTGGCTCATAATAAAATTACAGGTTAGTTAGTTAGTTACCAAACAATTCTTTCAACTCATTGTTATTTTTTCCAGAAATACCTCAGGAAATATCAACATTACAAGGATTAGAACATCTGAATCTTTTTAACAATTGCATTGTGGTATGGCATATTTTTGTATCGGTATTTTTCAGAATATCTCTCCGAAAATTGTTGAGTTAACATACTTACGATCCTTAAATCTTGGGTAGGCGTTAAATATTTATATAATTTTCTTTGGAAATCTCCAAGAATGAATAAACTCTCAGTTTTACCTCGTGGTTTTGGTGCATTTCCATCTCTTGAAATTCTTGATTTAACGTATAATAACTTACGTGAGACAAGTTTACCTGACAACTTTTTCAACTTGATAACACTTCGGGCGTTATATCTGTCGGATAATGATTTCGAACATATTCCACCAGGTATTGGAAAACTTGTGAACTTAGAAATAGTAAGCGAATGTGTTACTCTTTAATCTAAATTTCATAAATTAGTTAGCTCTGCGAGATAATGATCTTGTGTCTTTACCGGCTGAAATGTGTTTGCTCACCCGGTTAAAAGAGCTTCATCTTCAAAACAATCGTCTTGCAGTACTACCTCCTGAATTAGGTAAGTTAAGCCAACATCACTTATCTTTGTTTTTACCTATTGAGTTTTATTCACTTCCACTGTTGGGTACCAAGTTTTAAATAAAGCAACTAAGTCATACTTAGATGGTTTTAAAAGAGGACACAGGCGAAACTGCGTGACCTGAATTCACCAGGTGATCGATAATTGAGGTAGTAATTGATTCGCATTATCCTCTTAATGTTCGGAAATGCGTTCGGAAAGTGTGAGTTTGTAAGTCGAATATAGGTAGCTCCACAGGAGCAAGACAATTTACAAATACACACTGAAGTGGCCCACGTATCCCCACTATGATCTAGGAGCATGATTAAACGATCTAATTTATACATTCATAAATACGTCCGTCACTATTCGGGAAACTGGTGGTTTCATTGCCACCCTATTTGTTTGTTTGCATGTTTTCTCTTGAAATTTCAATGCATTGGAAGTCAGAATTAGTTAAACACCTGTCATCATTTCTTCAGGTAAGACCGTTGTTCTATTTGTGACTTGGGGGTTGGTGTTGAGCTTATTCCTAACTGCATCCAAAGTTGTATTAGTCTAACTCAGCACGTCAAAACTAATCATTTTCCATCTTTTTTGTATGCGTCTCCTCTAGTCTTTTTTCATTTCATATGAGTTAGTTAATCGAGGATTTGAGCGATCTCTAGTCAGGCCTAATTATTGAATATTTGGCTCATGTGTCAGCGTGTTCGTAAAGTCAACTGTTGACTTAGTAGGATATCCTACTTTATAGAATTTCATAGTACCATACACTACTAGGAGCATTAGTTTTAGGCATTCAGCTGTGATCTATCCATAGATTACCTCATTGGACGTATATTGGGTCAGTTGTAGACTTTTCGACTCGATTCATAACTGTGCCTACAGAGTATTTAATCTCTTCATACGGACCCGTTTGAATATGTTCATTGATCTACCTACCCTCTGTCCATGACTGCTGTTGAATTGTCCATGTCTGACTTGGCAGTTGTCATGTTGTCGTTCCTTTAATTTTTTAGGGCTGACATTTGTTGTTTTGCTAAGTTCTTTGTCGCCTTCTTCTGGTGTTTTAATTTCCGTGCACACTGTACTCTAACCTGCTCAACAGTCATGTTATCTATTGAGCTGAATATTACTTTTACGCTACAAATAACATATCCAGGTTTTAGTGTATCAACTGTCACAGAAATCTGATTCTTTTCTGAGAACTTTTATTTCATGCAAGCTTATTTCTCTTGAACGGTGGTTAATCGCCCACTTTGTTATATCAATAGTTGAGGGTATATCGTTGATAACCTACCTCCCTCTTCCCAGTAGAATATTTTTCTCCTGTCAATTTCTTGAATATTTTAAGTTACTGTTTTTTTGGTTAATTCGAAGAGACTGATTTTGGCCTGATGCATGTTTTCATAATCCTTAATAGTTCCCATGGTTTTGAGTGTGAATTTGAATCGTTCAATCATCGGATACCATTTCAGCTTTTGATAATTTCGTAGAGTTTTTCTCTTAAACAGAGTCTGTCTAATTGTTCTACTACTGTTTTCTTGTTATTTATTGTAACCGGGATGTACATACGAAGATACTTAGGAATAAAATGATTTTCTATGCATCGAATGTTAAGTGTTCGCTGACTTGTTAATTGTGCCTCTAGAGAGGGATAACAACAAGTTGTTCAGCAAGGATATCTTTTTGACGAATTCATTCTATAAAACCGTACAACCGCTATATATACATTAGCATAGTTACAGTTATTATATAACTCGACTGAATAACGAAGGTGAAATATGAAGATAATAATTTTTTATTTAATATGAAATTTTTGCAGGTGTGATAAGAGATGAACATAAGTTACAAGGGGCATTAAAATCAAAGTAATACAGAGTTAAGGGAATAATTGCTTTGATGAGTTTCAAGTAATAACGAAGTTGTTATCTGACACTTCTTGGTCTTCAATGTCCCTCTAACTGAACTTATTATTATTCCCTTGAGTTCCGAGTGGAAAATAGGGCTTCAATGGCACGTCTCCACTTTGTCCTATTTTCTGTGGTCCTCTTTAGCTGGCTCTACGATTGCCCATATTCCCTCATTTCGCATGATTTCCATGTCCCCTTCGGAAGTCAAACTCGTCTCTCCCACCTGTGTTCCACTCGAGCAGTGGACTGGAGTGCAACTTCATCCAATGGGGCGTCTTCAGTATGTCCCCGATCCGTCTCCTATATATATATATATATATATATATATATATATATATATATATATATTCATCCATATTTGTTGAACAGTAGGTTGTTAGTTGGTTCGTCCTAAGAGCTTCTTGTTGCCACTTCTTTCTAGCCATTTGATCTCGAATATGGAGCGAAGGCAACTGTTGATAAAATTTTGAAGCGGCCTGTTGGAAATGCTTTTCGTGATGCGTAGACCAAGTTTCGGACTCAGAATGACTGGATAACTTCGCACTTGTGTTAAAATCCCGAAATTTGTTGTTAATCGGCAGGTTTTCATAGTGATGAAGGTCTACTTTGCCTTTCCGATTCTGGCATCCTCATCCGTGGAGTCGGCTGTAGTAGAAAGGATGCTTCCTAGGTAAGCGAGGGAAGTAACCTCTCTCAAACTCCTCCTGTTGATAGTGATTCTGTCTGTCTGTCTGGATTCAACATAGAAATTGGCACCGAAGTGCAGCAGTTCGAGTTGCCACCTTCCAAATAGCACACAGAGGTAGACAAGAAGATGAGTGAAGAGAATTAATAGAGTTTGACAAATATAAGAGTGAAACAGAATGGGTAATGGTAGAAAGGAATATGAAAGATTACAGAGATTGAATACATCTGCGCCATTGACAACGATTTTGAGCCATGTCACCTATTGTCTCCAGCCATTGATTCCTAGAGTCCCGAGGGCCCCAACCCGGGAGTCTGCATCTCCCTACCTGACTCAGTTTAACTGTCAAGGATTTCATGGATTGATGCCATGTTTTGTTTGGCCACCACTGGCTCTTTTCCAACCTTCACCTATATCAGCTAACAATGCCCGTCGGGGAAGGCGGTGGTTAGGCATGCGCACCACGTGACCTAGCCATCTTAGTCTATGTAACTTTATAACCTCGTCGATTGATTTTCCCTGTTTGCCCAACACTCTACGCCTAACGTCAACATTACTTATCTTGTGAAACCACCTAACGTGAGACAGAGATCGCAGACATCTATGATCGAAAGCAGTCAACCTTTTCATGTCTTCAACGCGTATTGGCCATGTTTCAGAGCCATAGAGAAGGACGGAGCGAACTGATGAGCAGTACACACGTTTGTTGTTGTTGGCTGGTTGTTTCCATCATCTCCGCTTTCTCTGTATTTACTTGAAGTCCTGTCTTTGATGCTTCGTCTGCCTGCAAGTCTTCGAATCTGTGTGACATTAAACATAAATCATCCTCGAGACTCAGATCTCCTAGTCTTCTAATCGATCCAAAGTATTCCTGTCTTCTTGCTCCCCACTCACGGTGTTCCTCATAATTCAGTTCATGACAATTAGGAATATCATCGATGATATAGTAGGTAGTCTTGTCTTAATCTTGTACTCACTGAGAACACTTCGCTGAGTTCTCTGTTGTGGGTCTGTCTGTCTGTTTTCGACATAGAACTTCGCACATATGTGCGGAAGTTCAAGTCGCCACACTCCATGTAGCACACAAAGCAAGAGAAGAAAGTAGAAGAAATGCATATTAGAGACAGTGAACAGAGGTGTGAGACAAAGGAATAGTAATAACGAAGAACAATATAGTTTCACTGGGAATCATAAGTCACAAGGAGTGGATGCATCTGCGCCACTGAGAACGATTTTGAGCCATGTCACCAACTGTTTCCAGCCACCATTGGTTTTTACCGTCCCGAGGACCCCAACCCGGAAGTCTACACCTTCCTACGTGGCTTAGACTAACTGTTGTAGATTTCATTGACTGGTGCCATGTTTTTGTTTGACCTCCGCTAGCTTTTTTCCTGCCTGACCCTATATCCGCTAACATTGCTCGTCGAGGAGGGCGATGACTAGGCATACGTAACACATGTCCTAACCATCTCAGTCTTTGTAGCTTCACAACTTCGTCGATTTATTTCCCCTGTCTACCTAGCACTCGATGCCTAACCTCAGTATTGCTCACCTTATTATGCCATTTCACACGGGAGATAGAACGCAGACACCTATGATCAAAGACAGCTAATCTTTTTATATCTTCCACTCTCAGTGGCCAGGTTTCACAGCCATAAAGGAGGATGGAGCGGACTGATGAGCAGTTCACCCGCCCTTTGGTCGATAGTCGGACATCTCGTCTACGCCAGAGACGGCGTAAACTGGCATATGCGAAACTAGCCCTCTGCATCCGTACTGAGATTTCGTCAGAAATCAACCCGTTGCGGATGATGGTACTTCCCAAATAAGTAAAGCGGTCAACGTGCTCTACCACTTCACTCCCTATTTCTAATCTAGGAATCGGTGTAGTCCAGTCTTGTAACATCATCTTGCATTTGGCGGGAGCGAATCGAATGCCAAACACTCGTAGATTGCAGCTCAAGGTGTTTAGAAGACTCTGCATTTTGTCAGCGTCCTCGCCCAGAAGTCAACGAGATTATTCCCTGTTGTGGGTATTGGTTCGTGATAAATTCTACCTCGACATATAATAATAATTATTGTTATTACTATTACAAATTCTCTTAAGTTATTTATTGACTTAATAGAAAGTAGAAAGTCAACTTTATTCTATGAGTGTGATTCGATTACTTTTAACTTTCAGTGTAGTAGATAATTGTGATACAAATAGTACAACTACTTTCAGTTGTATACAAATATGCAGTGGGAAGTGTTAATATATTGTACTTTATAATTTGTTACGACTTCATACAATTCATAAGGATTTATTTACGCATTACTAGTACGACTTTATCTACAGTTGTGTACACCAAGAGATTGTATATAGATAGTGGTAATCAATAGAATGTGTAGTTTTTATGAGGTTTCAAAATAGGATAACATTTGGCATGGTTTATTGTTTTCATCGTGAAATGATATTGCCCAAAAGACTTTCAAAAAACCTAGAGATGTAGTTGAATGACTTAAGCGCTTAATTCCCAGTCAATGACTGCCGGATTGGCATCTCTCTCTCTCTCTATACTTCAGGTCAGGCAGTTGGGTAAAGTATCATCAGCCCTCTCTCATAACAACTGTGGCTAATAGTCCTATGTCAGATAACTAATTTCTAACCAATCAATCAAACATTACAAACAAACAGTTCTTCTTTCGCTCTAGTTAGGAACTCTTAAGGATGTACACTGGCAAACTATGGAGGAGATTGAATGCAAAACAATATTGCATACATATACGTACATTTATCATTGTCAAGACTGATTAAAATGTGTCACATTGTTCTCTGGTTGCGTAAAGTGTATAAAAAAGTACATAAATCACAACTCGAATATATTGCAGAATTTCCCTCTCTAGTTTGCTAACCACAACTAGTCATTCCATTATGGGTAAATTTTTGTTTTGATAAAGTCTCACAGTGTTATACAGTAATGTTTACTGATGACGTTTCGAGCACAATTTATTGCCACTCATTATCATATCAAGGTACTCACACGACTTCCTAACTTCATTTATATAGTTCCATTATTTTTCACTTGATTTGATTGTCAGTAGTACTTTCCATATTTCAGGTATGAGTGAAGAATCATTCCTATTGCATGTGTTTGGTGTAGACTCGATGAACAAGGCAAGGATTCAGTAATCAACCTCTCTCTCCACCTATCTAGATTACTTCTTAGAATTTGAACCCTCTTCCACCCTATTGTGTGGTTGTGTGTTAATGCATGCGTTGCAATTGCTGAGCTTTTTTCTAAATTACTTATCTTTTCAGGGTCAACCATTATACCTTAGCTAAATTCTTATGTTCTGACAATCTAACTACCCCTGACCTACCAGTTTGACCTATGTAGTTGACCTCACTCACAGTCATTGCATGGTATTTTGTAAATAATATTATTTTGTCTAATTGGGTCAACTGGGTCCTTTAACCTACACAGCTTGTCCCTGAGTGAGTTTATAGGAGGGTTTGAATGCCACCCTAATTCCTACTTTATTTAGAATCCTACGTAGGGTTTCAGATGTCCCCTCTTTATATGGTGTAACTGTAGATGACTTATATTCTCTCTAATTAATGTTATTATTACTAGTTTCACAATTATTTTTATTTTTCGCTTGGCCTTTTTCGATCTTCCTAATGAATTTTAAGGGATAGTTATTTAACACCAAAGCCTCTTCTATCTGTTTTAGTTCATTATTTAGGTCTTTGTCAGAACATAAGAATTTAGCTAAGGTATAATGGTTGACCCTGAAAAGATAAGTAATTTAGAAAAAAGCTCAGCAATTGCAACGCATGCATTAACACACAACCACACAATAGGGTGGAAGAGGGTTCAAATTCTAAGAAGTAATCTAGATAGGTGGAGAGAGAGGTTGATTACTGAATCCTTGCCTTGTTCATCGAGTCTACACCAAACACATGCAATAGGAATGATTCTTCACTCATACCTGAAATATGGAAAGTACTACTGACAATCAAATCAAGTGAAAAATAATGGAACTATATAAATGAAGTTAGGAAGTCGTGTGAGTACCTTGATATGATAATGAGTGGCAATAAATTGTGCTCGAAACGTCATCAGTAAACATTACTGTATAACTGTTATGTACTCGTCGCTAAATTATTGTTATGGACTGGTCGAGAAACTAATAGTCCTGACGCGAGAAGGCGGAAATCAGAAGACCACTAGGTTTGCGATGATACTTCTATTGTCCAAACACAAGGAGACGAAAATAAATGGTCTCACACCAAAGTGGTAAGTAAGTAAAGTAGTTGTAAAGTAAAGTAGTTCACACAAATTGTGAATGCGAATATATATAAATAATTCAGACAAGCGTGGGAAAAATCATTAGACAGTCTTAACATGAATGGCTAATTATAATGGAGTGTCGATCCAATTATACATAGCGAATATAGCAGACATGCCAACAAACATATATGGATATATGTCACCAAGCAACGGACTGTCAACAAACACTCATATTATATATAATATAATATAAGGAGAATACACATTATTAAAGGAGACAAGTTCATACAAGTGAAGTGGTCACAGACTAACCGAGCAAACAGAAAGAGAGACCAACATACACACACACATAAATATATATGTGGATACATATCACCTCCCCTTTTGAGAAGATTGATGATTAATAGCGTGCTTTCTTGGGGTTTATCTGAAACCGTTCAGTTTGTTGTCGACGTCTGTTGCTTCGTCTGCTTGTTGAGTTTGCGGCTTCTGCTTTGTCTGACGTTGTCTGAGCTGGGCACTTCTGCTTTTCTGTTTTGTCAGTCGTAGGTAAGTTAAAAGTATCCAAGAGAATATCCAGAGGTAGGGATGACTGTGTACTGGTAGGGATATTTGAGTTTCTTGGCCGCAACTGATTGTAGTGACGGGTCCATAATTCATTTCCAACTTTCACGTCGTACATAACTCGACCACGTCGTGCTGAGATGGAACCTTTATTCCAAGGTTTATGTCCTCCTCGATAGTCGCGGACATAGATAGGGTCACCAACATCAAATTTTTTTTCATTCCGAAATGATGCGTCGGCATGTTTGAGTGTCGGTGGTAACATTGAGTTATGAATCGTTCTAAGTTTGCGTCCGTAGAGAATTTCTGCCGGCGATTTCTTGTTCTGTGTTGACTCATTCGCCGTTGTACGGTACACCATCAAGAATTTTTGGATGATGTCAAATGGTGTCCCCTCTCCCTCTGCTTTGAGTAAGGCTCTCTTCAAAGTGTCGACAAAACGTTCCGCTTGGCCGTTTGACTGAGGATGATACGGCGGTGTGAACATATGCTCGATAGCATTTTGATGACAGAACTGCTGAAACTGATGAGAGGTAAACTGCGAACCATTGTCTGTAACTATGGTTTCTGGGAGACCATGGTGGGAGAATATGTCAGTGAGAGCTTTGAGAGTCTGGGACGTTGTCGGCGAAACCATTGGTATAACTTCTGGCCACTTAGAAAAAGCGTCTACCACCACTAAATAGTATGCACCATTTGTAGGGCCAGCAAAGTCAATATGAATTCTGGACCAAGGATGGGATGCTGGAGGCCACGGTACGGGAGGTAGCTGGTGGGGTAGCTTTGCTGATTGTTGACATTTTGAACATCGTTGAACAAAGTCGATAATATGCTTATCCATATTAGGCCAGTATGCGTAGCTGCGAGCAATACTCTTCATCCGCTGAATACCAGGATGTCCCATGTGAAACTGTTTCAGGAGTTTATTTCGTAATGCTTCAGGTATCACTACGCGTTCTCCAAACATCAAGCAATCTTTTACAACACATAAGGAATCACGACGGGCAAACAGGTGTTTTAGGTCTCCACTATATTTAATCTTTGGCCAATTACTGGATACATACTGTGTAGCACGTCGTAAGGTGGCATCGGTGCTTGTAGTTCGCTGGATTTCTGCAAACGTTACTGGTAGAGATCGAATAGCATTGTCGATGAGGTTAACTGCATAGTCTTTGGTGGCGATCGATGCAATTACCATATCTTCACTTGATGCAGGATAGTCGCTAATTAGCCGAGATAGAGCGTCGGCTTGACCAAATTCGTTAGTTCGGTTGTATTTAATATCGAAATCGTATCCAAGTAATATTATTGCCCAGCGTTGTAGTCGGTTAGCTGCATGTACCGGGATACCTGATTTAGATCCGAAAATGGAAAGTAACGGTTTATGATCTGTCAGCAAGGTAAATCGGCGGCCGTAGATCATTTTATGAAAACGTCGTACGGCGAAAACTAAAGCTAAGGCTTCTTTTTCAATTTGTGCATATTTCTTTTCTGCCGCAGTTAGTGTTCGAGATGCATGCATTATTGCTTTTTGTGAACCATCTGGGAAGACATGTAAAATGACAGCTCCCACTCCGCTTGCTGAAGCGTCCGCTGCAACTATAATTGGAAGTGTTGGACTATAATGTGTCAGAAGCAATTCAGAAGTTAACATAGACTTCAACTTTTCAAAAGCTGATCTGCAAGCTTCGGACCATTTCCAGGTTGCATTCTTTTCGAGTAGTCGATTGAGGGGGTGTCGAACATTATGCAGCGCAGGGAGAAATGCAGAGTAATAGCTAATTAATCCCAAGAAAGAGCGTAAGGAAGGCACATCAGTAGGTGCGGGCATCTCTTTTATAGCACGTATGTTGTCAGGATCTGGACGTCTACCCGATGCATCAAATATAAATCCAAGGTATTTGACAGATCTCAAGGAGAACTGACACTTCTCTGAGCGTAGTCGTAGACCGTTGTCCTGCATGCGTGACAAACAGCTTCTGTCCTGCTGTAAAGTTCGTTTATAGAATTCGCTACCACCAAGATATCATCAAGATAGACGGCAACACCCGGAATACCTGCCAAGATAGTATCCATCAGTTGTTGGAAAATAGCTGGGGCAGTTTTAACTCCGAAAGGTAATCTGTTGTATTGGAACAAACCGCGATGTGTATTAATGGTAAGGAGTTCTCGGCATTCTGGGGCTACTTCCACTTGTAGATATGCGTCAGCAAGGTCCAGTTTTGCAAAATAAGATCCACCATTTAAAACAGTGAATAAATCATCCGGTGTAGGTAAAGGATAGTGGTGCTGTTCTAATGCAGCATTCAACCCAGTAGAGAAATCAGCACAAATACGTAGGGACCCATTCGCTTTCTTGACAACGACGATGGGTGCTGCCCATGCCGAGTACGTGACTGGTGTTAATACGCCTTGTTGTTGCAGTCTCTCCAATTCTTCGTCAACTTTTGGTACAGATGCATATGGAACTGGCCTCTTTGGGCGAAAAACCGGTTTTGCGTCTGGTAATACTCGAAAGGTAGCTTGCAGCGAGGTACAGTGACCTAATCCGGGCTGAAAAACAGGTGCGAATAGTTTGCATAAATCAGAAAAGGAGTTGGCTGAATTTTCATCCTTGTTAACTGCGTTGCATACAGAACTAAGTGGGACATCAGCCAGATGTAAACGATCGAACCAATCAAGTCCCAAAAGATTTAAATCACTCTTGGTGACGTAACAAATTCCTGTGAATTTGATATCGCGGAAGGAAACAGAACATTCGAGTTCACCAATTAGTTTGAGGCGCCCACCACAGGCGCTGACAGCAGTCTGAGAAGTATTGGTGATAGGTGGTCTGCCAATATTATTCCAAAGTTTCTTTGATATAACAGTAATATCAGAGGCGGTATCTAGCTGCAGACGTGCATCATGACCATTCATCTGAAGGTCAAGATATTTCCGCATACATGGAATTATGACTTGACAGGTTGCGAGTAGACTCAATGATCTCCTTGGAGATTTAGGACCAACAGTTTGTCGAGCTTTTGCTGGATTATGATATCTGGGTTTGCGTGGCTGACAAAAACCATTTTTATGACCGATGATTTTGCACTTGCTGCAACGATGATTTTTGTATGGACAAGACTTTACAAAGTGCCACGCGCCACAATGCCAGCATGGTGATGGTGGGGTCTTCTTTGCAGTATTTTGTGAAGTTGGACGAGTATGTGTAGATTTCCGCGGAACATTAGAGAAGTAGGTGGGTCAGGAGTAGATGATGAGAGATTTTTGCTCTTTCGTAATGCACGAATATCAGAGCTTCTCGAAGGTGTTGATTCGACCAGGTGTGTGTCTTTCTGCAGATTAATCAGCCGTTGATATTCATCAGCTATGTCATGTAATGTTAACTTGGGATTTTGTTCTAGCTGATTGAGCAGTCGAGTTCGGATATCTGTGAAACGAGGAGATTGGAGACTGCATATGAGAATCAAGGCTTTGAATTGATCATCTGTTAAGGACCTGAGTCGAAATCTCTCACATTCTCGGTTGACTGTGCCAACGTGAGTAAGAAAATCATCATTTTCATTCATTGTCAGCTTGAGGCAACGATAACGTATACTGAATAATGAGGAGTGGTCTCCAAAATGTTCACGCAGCAGCTTTATTGTATCATCGAAACAATTGTCACGTGGTTTCTGTGGTAAAATTAGGTTGCAGTACCGTTCATATTCTGCCGGACCCAATTTACGTAGCAAAACTCGCACCTTCCAGGCATCGTCTTGTGAGGCGAGATCAACAGTGAATAAATCCTCATAACGTTGATACCATGTGTCAAAAGTGACATTAGCCTCTGGGTCATAATTGAACTGTGAAATACTGTTCACAATTCCGTCGACAGATGGTAGCATGGTATGATTGGGATTGCTTGAAGGTGAAGCTGGACCAGTCTGTTGGTTGACGAACATTTCCATTAATTTCATTTGTCGTTCAAACAATAATTCCAATTTAATAGGATCCATAGTAAATTGTTATGTTGCTGCTGCTGTGTGGTTAATAGTAGTTTTCCCCGTCGCCAAATTGTTATGTACTCGTCGCTAAATTATTGTTATGGACTGGTCGAGAAACTAATAGTCCTGACGCGAGAAGGCGGAAATCAGAAGACCACTAGGTTTGCGATGATACTTCTATTGTCCAAACACAAGGAGACGAAAATAAATGGTCTCACACCAAAGTGGTAAGTAAGTAAAGTAGTTGTAAAGTAAAGTAGTTCACACAAATTGTGAATGCGAATATATATAAATAATTCAGACAAGCGTGGGAAAAATCATTAGACAGTCTTAACATGAATGGCTAATTATAATGGAGTGTCGATCCAATTATACATAGCGAATATAGCAGACATGCCAACAAACATATATGGATATATGTCACCAAGCAACGGACTGTCAACAAACACTCATATTATATATAATATAATATAAGGAGAATACACATTATTAAAGGAGACAAGTTCATACAAGTGAAGTGGTCACAGACTAACCGAGCAAACAGAAAGAGAGACCAACATACACACACACATAAATATATATGTGGATACATATCAATAACACTGTGAGACTTTATCAAAACAAAAATTTACCCATAGTGGAATTATACTCTACCACAGTGCACAAGTTTTATTCTTATATCAACAACTAGTCATTATCAACTTGTCAAGGAGGTGATAATTAAATGAGATAATTGATGTAGGAATTAAAAAGGGCAAAATGTTCGTAAAAATTAAACAAGTAGTTGCATAATGCATAGTTTGGGAAAACATCTGGGGATTAAGTGAGTGTGCAAATCGATTACATAAGAACAATCAGGGATCAGTGAATAGTAAACTAAAGTTCATTTGGAGCACTTAATGTTAGAAGAAGCTCAGTAAAGATATATTTTCAGCGGTTTTCCCAGTCCAATTTCCTGGTGGCTATTTTGCTGACGATGAGAATCTAATCTCCCAGACACCTGATTTGTCATTGAATTGCGTGGTTTGGCTTATTAAATTTAGCAGAAGTTAGAATTCACGGACCATTGGACCGGATCCCAGTGGCTTAGTGGTCTACGAGCTCGCCTTATAACCAGAAGGTCCTGGGTTCGAACTCTGGTGATGGGTGTTCACTGCAGAAGAGTCCCAAACTAGGACGGAACAACTGTCCAGTACTCCCTGCAGGTTTTCCAATGGTTCTCTAACCAACGTCACCTCATGATGAAATCCTGTAACCAATCAACCAAATCCCTACAGACCAATAATAAATTCAGCAGCTACTTGATCCGAAGTACGGATTATGCTTCATTTACTGCTGCGTGGACAATCGAACGGTAACAGTAACCTTCACACCACTAAACTGAAAGAGTATTAATGTTGCCTGATCGCAAAGCTTACGGGACAACTGCCTGAGGTCGTCCACACATGGCCTATTTGAAGTGGTTCTGAGAGTTATCTCCGTATGCAGACTTTACCACAGGATACTAAATGCCGCTAGCCTTACACACCAAGTGTTTCGTAGTTTATTAGAATGTATATCTTAATCGCATTATTAGCTTGCCTCTCTCTCTCTCTATCTGTGATCTGTCGTATCCAATAAAATCCAATTGTTTCTCCATGTTACTATTTCTCCTCCCTCACATTTCTGCTTACTATCGTTCTTTCGAATATCTTCTTTTTCTTTCCTGTCTTCCCTTGTGTGTACTATATGGAGTAAGGTAACCTGAACTTCTGTGCGAAGTTGTATGTTGAAACCAGTCAGTCAGTTTGTAGCTTGCTTACACCGTTTACACGAAGTCATATATCTAAAGCTATTTCGGTATTACTGTATTATAGCCACTAATCTATATTGTATTCACGAAAATCAATATTTGTATGAAATGCTTCCTTTTCTGTAAAGAATTCACTGTTTTGTATAACTAGTTAATTAGTTAATCACTCAGCTAATATTGGCGTTGTATTGTTGTTTTTTTTTTTAAATTTCTACAAGGTGTATTAGATCTTTGTGGACCTAAACAAGTGGCTAAACTGTCAGGTAATGATTGGGTTTCACCAATTGAAGATCAATTACAAGTTGGACTTTCTCATGTCTTTGACTACATACGATCTGAAACCTATAAATTGTAAGTTTAAAACTGCAATAAACTTCTGGCTTATTTTTTAAGATTTTTTGTTCTCATGTTCATAAGTGTTGTCACCTTATCTTTACTTCTTTTGGAAGGCAGAGACGTTATTCCAGTTGGAGAATTTAGTGGATTACTTAAGAAAGTGTGAAAGATTGAATGTGTTCTGGTATGATATCAAGCTGTTACGAAGTTAATGTAAAGCAGATTGAGTTTAGTTCACATAGTGTTGATGCAATGAACACATACTCATACTTCAACGTCTATTTGGAAACTGTCCCAAACATGACAGACTAACACTCACTACTCTTCCTGATATGTTAGAACCACTTTTAGTTTGGTGAAAAAAATCACTTCGTGATTTCCTATCATACAGGTTAGGTCTTGAGGAGTTTATTACAGAACACCTCAGTTCGACCTCTGTCATACAACCAATCCATCTATTCCCACTGTTCTAAACCAGCAGTAAGGTTTAGAGTTGATCCGACTCTGCATTCCTTCTCAGATTTGTCGTCGATAGGAGTTTAGAAACATTTCTAAAAGATATCCGGGGTGATAGCGTATGATTTCACCTAATATTTTTGAAGCTAGTGCCTTTAGCTTTGTGCCTCACTGTTATACGCATAGTACAAACCTTTTTCTATAGACACGATAAAAGCCTCATATACTAAGATGACAGAGAACACCCTTGGGCACTGTATTTCATCCGTATAATTGGGGATCGTAGCATAGTTTCCGGGTTGAAATTACCAATATCTAACTCAGATTATCTTAGTATTTCACAGCAGTAGACAAAATGTCATCAAGAGATGCCAAACAGCGGAGGTCCATGTTTCCTGTTCGTGTACATATTCAGAAAGGTCTAAGTTTTTCTTACTAATCTATACTTTAGTTAACATGCGATGCCTTAGTTAACTTGCTGCAAGCTTGAGCGTTGGAGTTTCAGTAGGGGTGGTGCTGTTTTCATGGGGTTGTTCGCCAGCCTCATTATCAACATTCCCTCTTTACCACACCTAATATCGGCTGGATAAGTAAGGCTTAGTAGTGCCTCGGTCTGGCCCATGTGCGTGGATGGTTAGCATTCGGACACTGCTCTCTCATATATATATATATATATATATATATATTAGTATTATTCCTTTGGGTTCCGAGTAGAACAGATGGCCTCAACAGCACGTCTCCATTTTGTCCTGTTCTCTACTGCCCTTGTCGTGTGGCTCCACGACTGCCCACCAGCTTTCATCTCCATGTCCCCGTCGAACATCCAGTTCGTAGTTTCCCACTCCGGTTCAGTTCGACGGCTTGGCGTGCGGTGCCCCCTGACGGTCTTCTCGGCGTTTGTCGGAAGTATGTCCATTTTTTCGACATACTTGTTGAACATTAGGCTCTTGACTGGTCCTTTCTCAAAATTTCATGTTACTAATTCTCTCTGACCATCTGATTATCAGTAAAAGAGTCAGCGAAGGAAGCTGGTGATGTAGGTCGGCAGTGAGCTTCTAGAAAAGCACTTCACGACGCTGGTGCCAAATTTCTGACTCATACAAAAGAACCGGCTGACTTAACTTTGATGTTGAAAATCCAAATTTTGTTGTTTTTACCGACTGAGTGCAACAGATTACCCCAATAACTTCAGAGTGATGAAGGTCTGTCTTGCCTTTCGCATTCTGACTGGTTTTGGCATCCTTATCCGTGAAGAAAGTGACCTCTTCGTGCATCAATATATATATATTCTTTCTCTTCATGCCTTTTCAGCTTATATCAACGCCATATAGCTGCTGATAATAAACCAAGACCGATAGCGGATAAATCAAAGAAAATTAGTCGAAAAGTTCAATAAAAAAATAATAATAATACCGCGCCAATAGCAAGTACCCCACTGTGACGTGGTAGTAGTATTTACACAAATTTATTTCAATTCTAAGCAGACAGGTTTGATGAAACCTGCGAAAACAAAACAGCTGAATATCTTTTACACATCTACTTTTAATTTGTATTTTTCTTATTTTGTTTGTTTTTATTTTCTTCTAAAAATGCTTTTTATTTCTTTGCAGTTATTATGTAATGAATGACTTTGGAATTTTTTTTATATGTATTCTAACAAAGTGATCAAAATTCTGACACATCTTGTTTTGGCTTTGCTTTGTTTAAAAGTATATATATATATATAGGCATACATTTGTTAAAAATGACAAAGGAATTATTAGTGGAATTTATCGTTTCTTTGTTTTAAAATCTATTTATGCACTTCCTCATTGTCGGCTGCTGTACTGCTTTGTTTTTCTACTCTACACACTAGTTTATTTTTTATTACTTTTACACAAGTTATATATATTGTTTTTAATACTTTAGGGATAATGCATATTGTTCATTTTTACAAGTAATTTATATCAACGGCCATCCATTTTCGACCGGTGATGGTCACTGCTTTTATTTTCTTCTTTTCTTTTGACTTTGGTAGTTTGATAATTAAAAATTTACTAAAGTTACTGAATTCTCAAAGTAGTAGTTCATCACTGTCCTGTGCCTCAAATTCATCATCATATTTCATAATATCTTCTGGTCTTTTACCTAGAAAAAACAAGCAACAGGAAAAGTTATTAATATGATAATATATATTTATGAATAAATTTTTTTTAAATTGCTGCTACCTTGTTTTAAAAATGCCTCCAACGGTGCAGGATCAATAACTGCCCAGTCTTCAAGTATACTCTGAAATTAATTGCAAATGAGAACAGAATTTAGTGAATATATATATATTGGATTTTGAGATAATAAGCACACAATTATAAAACAGATCAACTATCACAAAGGTATATATATTACAACAGAACATGTGGTATGTGTTCATTCAATTCATTATTTTATTTCTTTACGTTTCTAGTGGAACATATAGGGCGTTAAGAGCTAGAGTTTTGAAGTTTTGGGTAGCAGTGGTATTTATTTTTACGAGGTGGGGAGTCGCTAGCCTCATACCCAACCTTCCTTCTTTACCGGTTTTATTACCGGCTTAGTGAGGTCCAAGAATACGTTGGTGGCTAGGGGTTGAATCCCGAACCACAAGCGTGGTTAGCGAGCATTCTACCGCTGTACCACCACCACTGATGCACAAAGCCGTTGGCAGGGCGCGGTTTCGATCCACGGTGGGTTATGGCCCCAATACGCTTCCACTTGTAACAACAGAAGACAAGACATGGAAGCCATTAATCAAACTGCTGTTGATATATCTACAGTTTATATCCGTTAACCAATCACCGAGTGTGTTATTTTGGTCTACATTGAACAACATGAAATAGAATGTTCGAATATATATATATATATATATATATATATATATATATCGATTGCACGTATGTCGTGTTGATTCGATGAACAAAGATTCGGTGCTTGGCCTCTTCCTCCACCTAATTTTATTACTATAAATACTCATCCCGCACACCCCCTATTGTGTGGTAACATGCAAGGGAATTCACTGCAAAGGCCCATCTTATTCCCACATTATTTAATTTATTAGGACGAATCATCCTAACTATAGTTAAATGCCTAAGACCCGATAGTCCAATTGAAGTGGATTCAAGAGCATCAGTCTGTCAGACAAGCGCATACATACTTCATGTGACAGTTGCCAACTACTCATATAAATATCAGTAGTGTGTGTTTTCGTGCGTCGTGCGGTTAGGACGCTCGCCGACTATGCACATGGTCCGGGGTTCGATCCCCGGCCGACGCACTCCTTTACCTCGCTAAGCCAGAAATAATCCTAGTAAAGAGGAAAGGTTGGGCATGAGGCTAGCAACCCCATCCTGTAAAACAAACACTGCTACAGAAACTTCAAGCCTCTAGGTTGAAGCCCTATGTTCCACTGTGGAACGTGAAGGAAAAAAAAGTATGTGTTTTCATGAAAAACTACTTAACCATGAGATGATATATTTAGTCGGAAAACATGTCCTCGTAGTCGATGGTATTGAATAGAAATTAGGTTAATCATTGGTCAATCAAAAACGGTTCTAACTCCATTATGGATAAGATTTTATCTGATAAATCACAGTGTTGTACAGTAATATTAACTGATGACGTTTCGAGCACAAATTATTGCCACTCATAATCATATCAAGTTACTCACACAACTTATTCCCTTCATTTATTTACATGTGTGGAATCGATTAGATGTTGGATTAAAAATCAGTATGAGATAATGCACATTCAGAAATAATAATAGGAGTGTCATTGATCAATTATAATTAGATGGGAAATAAGACGAATGTTTTTATAGTCATAATAAGTAACTTGTTAGAATGTTGTGATGTGTTTGAATTGAAATAGCATTTCGTGATTATTTATTATCCCCTTCTGATTTCACTGACTGGTGGTAATAATAACTTCCACATTTCTGGTATTTGCATTGAGTCATTTCTGTTGCATGTGTTGTGTTGGGTGTAGACTCGATGAACAAGGATTCTGTGATCAACCTTTGTCTCTCTCCACCTACCTATATTACTTTTTAGTATTTTAACCCTCTTCCACTCTATTGTGTGGTTGTGTGTTAAAGAATGCAGTCCTATGGCTGAACTGTTTTCTAAATTACGTATCTTTTCCGGGTCGACCATTCTTCCTTTAGCTAAATTCTTATGTTGTGATAATCTGATTACCCGCGACCTACTAGTTTGACCTATGTAGTTGACTTAACTCACAGTCATTGCAGGGTATTTTGTAAATTATATTATGTTGTCTTATTGGGTCAACCGACTGCGTCCTTTAACCTACAGAGCTTGTCCCTGAGTGAGTTTATAGGAGGGTTTGAATGCCACCCTAATTCCTGCTTTATTCAGAATCCTACACAGGAGCTCGTCTCAGATGTCCCCTCCTTATATGGTAAAACAGTGGATGGCTTATATTCTCTCTTATTTATGTTATCATTACTAGTTCCACAATTATTTTTATTTTATGTCCCATCAGAAATCGTTCAAACTCTAGGCTAATTAATTCATATGAGATGAAAAATAAACTAAATGACATTCAACTAGCGAATGATGAAACAATGGTTAGTATTGATATAACTAGTCTTTACATTAATATACCAGTCAACATGGCAATAGAAGCAGTTAAAGACGAACTAACTGCAGATCCTGAACTCAATCATAGAATAAAGCTGCCCATTGAAGAAATCACGTTAGGGATTCAAATATGCCTAACATCTACTATCTTTAAATTCCAAGGCAAAATATATAGACAAACAGAAGGTGTAGCAATGGGATCACCAATATCCCCTGTCGTAGCAGACATATTTATAGAACAGCTGGGACCATAGAAACACTCGTCTTATTTCTCATCTGATTATAACTGATCAATAACACTCGAACTATTATTTCTGAATGTACATTCTCCTATATGGATTTTTGTTTAAATATCTAATCCATTCTACACATGTATTATATAAATGAAGGAGATAAGTTGTGTGAGTATCCTGATATGATTATGAGTGGCAATAATTTGTGCTCGAAATGTTGTCATCAGTTAATATAACTGTATAGCACTGTGTGATTTATCAAAATAAAATCTTATCCATGCTTGAGTTATGCTCTACCACAGTGCCCAAGTTTTATACTTATATCAAACTGTTCTATTCATCACATTTAGCTCACACATGTTTGACATTCTATTTCGCCTTTATTATACTGACTAAGTTTCAACCTGGAAGTTTACACGAGAGTGCTGCAGTTCGAACTACTGTCACATTTCATAAAGCACAAAAGGGGTAGAGGTGTGGTGAGAGCAGCCTACTTGGAACGCTGCTGGGAGGTCGGGCGAAAGCAGCATATGAAAGTGTGAGCCGAAATACCGACGAATGTTCGACAGGGTCAGGCAAACAGTTTCCAAAGTGGGAGGGACCACATATGGTCACGTCGAGATGGGGTTACGCAGACACAGTCGCAATGTCGAACAATGAGAGGCGCGTGAACGTCAGCGAGCTCCAGAAATGGATATAGCGAGTCAAGCCAACGATGACGCCCGCACCGAGAAGATCAAGCAGACTTCAGTCGCAAGTCTTTGACGGGGGGACGAGTGTGGTGAGAGCAGCCTGCTAGCCAATTGGTTGACATTAATCTACGTCAATGTGTAGGTCACTAATATGGGCCGTGAGAAAATATGAACAAGGCTGTTTCAACAACCAATCACAGCAAACTTAAACGTGGGCAAATATGATTCGCAGATAGATGGCTCCACTTTCCGAGGAACTCGAAAACAACCAATCAGAAGACTGCGTTTGTCTACTTGACTAGGCTATAATAATGTATGTGAAATTTATATAAATACGTGTTGATTTTCGTAATAAAACGATCTGTTGCCTGGCCCTTGTCTTCTGTTGTTACAGAGGGAAGGGGTGCAAAAAACAACTACAGTGTACGAGTATGTTGTGTGGGAGAGAGAAAAATCGGCACATGAAAAATAATGATACTCAGTTATTGTCCAGGCGGAAATACTTGCAATGAAATTCAAGGAGCATAGGACCCACTGGCTAGAAGTCGAGCGTTTCAATTAAACTAATAAGCAGCATCTCCAATAATAATTTTAGACAGAAAAAATAGGTCAAATCTATCTCCTACTTGAATACAGGTTTTGAGCTGAGCTTCACTTTCAGGTGTCATAGGCATATCTTCTACAACAGACCAATTACCATTCCCAGTACAAATAATTGGATATGAAAATGCAATTCCTTTCGGGACACCATACCAGTCTGAAATTAGGTGAGAGAAAAAGAAAAAAAAGTTTTCAAATATTAAGAGATGCATTTTCATTTCGAAACAATTCCTATCTGTATATTTAATTCTCCCCCCCCCGCCCAGCCCTCATAGGAGAAATTGTATGGATCAGATTTATTTCTACTTTTATCATACCAGTGATTTGAAGGGTGTGACACCTCAATTTTACCACTCACTATTTCGATGCTCATTTGTGTTCTTTTTATTTCTCTTCTCTATAATCGATCACTTACGACAGAATTTCTGATGGTTAGATGATACGTTTCACGGTAGACTTTTGTTGTATTTCGCAATACGTTGAGATGAAAAACACAGGCCAAGTTAGACAAAGATACGCTCGTCATAAATACCTCTTGACTATGCCAACAAGAGTATACGACTCTATATTGGTTTGTTTATTAGATATATCACACAGTGAAACAGTGTATACGACAACTACCTGTTCGCCGACACGCGCTACTTAAGCGAGAACACTCAACGACGTGAACCGAAAAATATATTTCACACAATAATGCAAGATTTAAAAAAAAATCACCAAGGATATGGTCAATCACTGTAATCATGATCAATAAGATAGTGGGAGTTATTTTATACAGGCCAATTCTGACTGGTTTATTTCCGGATTGACCTTGATCACTTATATCACCAATAAAGGATAATTCATTGTTTATCTGTCTCCATATCGACTTTCGCAATCAGCCAGTATCCACTAAAGAAACACTACGTAAAACAAAAAGTAATGCGTAGGTCTTTCGTTCTAGTTCAGCAGTGTGTACCTGCGACCAAATAAAGGACACAAGTGAAAGCATTCAGATTACTGAAAGTGGAAGTCCACTCAACTATTTAAATCATTTGGGTGCAACTGAGCGAATCATGGTTTACGACTTCTGCTTACAACTTTCTTGTAACACAGTTGTAGTATCGCAATGGTGAAAACCCCCTGCAGGGGAAAAGAAGTATTCACTGCTACTTTTATAACTTAAAGTAGTTTCTAATTGGTGGGTGATGACTAGCAGTAGGATCCAGAATGCGCGTTTCGTCCTATTCGGGACTCTTCCTTCGGATGTGCTTGCATTCCACAGTGATTGATGATGTTCTCACTGTGGCTCGAACCCAGTGCCCATAGTTTCCAACGCCAAACTGTTATCCATTGGGCCACCTCTTGGGCAACAGTTCATAATAATTTAATTTTTGATTTCTCCGTCGACTGATTGAACCTAATCTCATGCCCAGGCATTGTCGAAGCATCTGCACAAGAAGCTGAAATGTCAACCTGAGACCAAGCACTTCGGTTCAATCAATCAACAAGAAAATCAAAAATTAAATTAAAGTAGTTTCCATCATTCAAAGTATTATCTTCCAAGTATTTGGATAGGAAGCAAAGGGTCTTCGTAATTAGGATATATATGATGATTGACTCTGACTGTCTGTCTGTTTTCGACATAGAACTTTGCACAAATGTGCGGAAGTTCAAGTCGCCACACTCCGTGTAGCACGCGAAGCAAGAGAAGAAAGTACAAGAAAAGCATAATAGAAACAGTGAGTAGAGGTGTGAGACAAAGGAGTAATAAAGAAAAACAGAACAGTTTCATTGGAGATCATAGGTCACAAGGAGTGGATGCATCTGCGCCACTGAGAACGATTTTGAGCCATGTCACCAATTGTTTCCAGCCACCATTGGTTTTTACCGTCCCGAGGACCCCAGCCTGGAAGTCTGCACCTTCCTACGTGGCTTAGGCCAACTGTTGTGAATTTCATTGACTGGTGCCATGTTTTTGTTTGACCGCCGCTAGCTTTTTTCCAGCCTGACCCTATATCCGCTAACATTGCTCGTCGAGGGAGGCGATGGCTTGGCATACGTAACACATGTCCTAACCATCTCAGTCTTTGTAACTTCACTCTAAATCAGAGTGGTATCATGCATTTGCCATCTACTTTCACCTACTTATCAAAGTCAGCGAATTCAAATGTCCTCAAGTGTTGGCTCGTAGGGGTCTGGTTTGTTTCAAGCTTGATCACGGATTGATACCAGTTAGAGAACCATTGAAAACCGGCAGGGAGCACTGGACTGGTCGGCCTTACGCATCCACTACCGGGGCTCAAATCCAGGACCTTTCGGTTATAACGCAAGTTTTTGGACCAACAAATCAAATCCGGTTGGGAGTGAGGGCGAATACTCGCTGATGACATTGGCTAGTGGTCTCGCATAAAATAACGAAATGATAGAAGGTGGACCATTGAGTTGGGTCCCAGTGGTTGAATGATCTACGTGCTTAGCTTGTAACCGGAAAGTCCTGGGTTCTAACCCTGGTGTGTGCGTACCGATGAAGAGTCCCAAACTAGGCTGACGAAATAGCTGTCCAGTACTCCCTGGTTCTCTAACTGATACCAATCCGTGGTCAAACTTGAATTCAAATGTATTTCTTTGAAATTCCTTTTTTACCGGTCTGTATATAGTTTAGACCAGTTAAGAATTATTTAGTCACAGTCAAGCAGAATATTTCAATAGGATTATCTATCTTACCACCATTTGATATCTTAACAAGGGAGGTAATCTGTCCATTTTGATTTTGATTAACACCCCACCATTCTTTCAATAAATCACTTATAGCATTCCCATCAACTAATCCATATTTCACACTGCCTTCTTCAAAAGCGACATTTAATAATTCAGTAGTTAACCATTTTGGATTTTCAGCTACAGTCAGCACCGGAAATCGTAGAAAACATCCACCAACAACACCTGCACCCATTTCTGTTCTACAAGAAACACAACAACGCGAAAGATCTGCAAACATTGTACCACCTGCATTCCCCCAGATCACAAGATCAGTGACATCACATGAGCGTACCTTCAAGTGTTTAGCTATTGTAGCTTTGACGCGTAGTTCAATTGGTCTGATTAGACCAATTATCTGAGATGATGGTATTTTTGTTGACACAATTTTATATAGTGCTGTCAAATCAAAACATATAGGTGTTGTTGTTTGTAGAGATACTTTGCCTAAACCTGGATAACCACCAGCTATTAAAATGCGTATTGATTTCTGACACTTTTCTCTGATCTTTCGTCCAAGTTTATTAAAGTATAAAAATCTTCGTCGTAACCACTGATCTCTTGACTCCCAGACATCCTCTTCTCTGGCAGTATTTGTATCATTTAAGCATATTCGTGGGACTACATTCATAATAATCACTTGTTTCACAATTGACAAGCATTCATCAATATCATCAATCACGTAGATATTGTTGACTTTAGCAAATGCTCCCTCGATAAGCATTTCTTGTAAATGATACAAATAAACATGATGCTCAACTTCATCATGCAAGTATAAATCGATTAAACCATCAGTGAATTTTTTCTCATTCATAATAATATTAAGCATTTCTTTAGTCGCTGGTGTAGACGCGCCAATAATTAAAATGCCTATTGAAGGTAGTCTATTAGCAATTTCTATTCTCTTGTCTTCATCTTCTTCATTTTTATATCGTATATTATCTTCAACAATCTTCAGGATTTCTTCAGTAGGCATTGAACATTGTTCACCATAATAAGCAGCTAACAACTCTTGAAATTCATTAGCTCCACCGATTAATATGCCTTTACCGCCTTTATTAACTAATTCTCTCCATACAACTGGTGATTGTTCTATCAACCAACCATGCGTTTCTTTAATCCATTTAATAAATTCCTATTGTTTAACAATAACAATTATTATTATTTTGTTTAGTATTGACTAAACAAAATATAATTTACATACTTTCCACTCATTTGGTTGTTTAACAATCTTGGTAACTCTAAAATTGGGTAGATTTAAGGCTAGTTTATCTGCTAACAATTCAATTCGTGCGTAAAATGGACAGTCAGATTTCCCTGCAAAATAAAAAGGGAGTAAAAATCTTACGTAATTGAATGTAATAGGGTGAACATATATACATATCCTGTAAAAAGAATATATGCGTCGGCGGCACAGCGACAGAATGCTCGCCGACTACGCCTCAAGTGGCCCGGGGGTGTTCGATCCCCGGCCACCGACGCATTACTCCTTTACCTCAACTAAGCCGATAGTAGGACCGGCAAAGATGGAAGGTGGGGCATGGGGATAGCAGCCATATCCCGTAAAAATAAACACCACTGCTACCGAAACAGCAAAGTTCCAGTTTCAAGCCCTACGTTCCACCGTGAACGTATAGGAATACTAATAAAAACGATATGTTGACAATATTAGTCCAACAAGTCTGAGCTGCTACACCACCACATGTCTATTCAAACACTCGAAAAGGCGATTCGAAAACAAAACAGTTTATTCTCTTACGATTGATACGAAAAGTTGAATGACCATTCAAATCGACCAGTAGTGCTTGTCAGGTAGGTGTTGAAGTGATCTCAACACTGGACAGCTGTTTATAGGGGTAGAGCTCATCATCGGTTTACGCAAATCGATTCCGATCATAGAGTCGTATTATTTCGAACCACTGGAATTCTGGCTGGTCATTTGGGCAAACTGACAACACAAAGAATCAAATTCTCAATTTGAGAATCACTCAGTTCTAAGTAAAAAGTCACCACGGGTTTTGTTTCGGAAACCAAAATTATTTAGTTCAAAATTTGTAATCTGCTTGATACTATATAAGTGGCAAACAAGAAATCAAGCGGCATAGGAATAAATAGAAAAAAATCAAGAGTAGTGGAATCTCATTAAGAGAGAGAGAGAGAGTATGCAGAAATATGATAACGCTATCAATATCAAGTCAAGTTATGAATGGACATAACTCAGTGAACTAGACCCGAAGTTACATCACTCAATGAGTCGGGTTGTGCACTCTGGTTGTTTTGTAATCAATCACCAGCTAAGTGATGTACACCTCTCTACATAAGTCGGTCAGACAGCTACTGATTCTCAGTGGACTGTGGGTACGTCATGATCTGGTTATTCTTGATTCTTTCGAATTTAAGATAATCTCGAATGAATGGCTACCAATTGACTAGACGTATCTTTCATGATAGAAGTTGTTATAGCGAAAATAATTGCATTTCTAAGTGAATAGACAATGTACTTTCCATCGAAGGAGAGTAAATTGTCGTGAGTAATTATCAATAAAAATGGGAATATTTATTTCATGATACGAATGTATAACAAGCAACAAAGGTTAATAAAGCAGGATTTAACGAATTCGCCGAAGTCCAGTAGAACTCTTCAGCTGAAGGCTTTACATAAAAGAACATATATACATATATTTACTACTGGGAATACATTGGGAGATACAAGACTAAAAAGCATATAAATTACATTGAATTAATCATGGAAAACGACAAGTTTGAGTATTATTCACGTCATGTTCGAATATGTAAGGGAAAAGAAGGGATTTAAATTAAGATAGAATGTATTACGCTTACATTACATCACTTAGATAAAAAATAGGTCACTAGATAACTGTGTATAAACAAGGGTGAATTATAATTCTGTGGAATAACAGTTCACTCACTAGCCATTAATTCTAGAAATCAACATTAAGAAGAAGAGCAGCATGTATGATTACTAACACATCTCAGAGGTAAATAAACAAACAAAAGAAATTGACAGAAACGTACCACGATTCAAGGGATCGCATGATCCTTGAATACGACGTGCATTTTCCTCTCTAACCGGAAACTACCTATTTTTTGTGAATTATCAACTCCTTCAACAAAAGGTGTGGACAATATAAGTTTTAAGATATATAATGAATGACGCTTTATAGAACCAGATACGTGAACTGAAATCGCTAGCGCAGCTTGCAGAGCCAGAGCTTTAATGTGGTGTACACTCTTCCGAAGTAGGTTTCTGAATCAACAAACTGAGTTTTAACAGGGTACTGAGCACAGCGGTTCAGCAGTTCAAGTTGACGCTCTCCGTGTAGCACATAAAGTTAGACAAAATAGAGAAAATAAAGAGGTCCGAGGAACTACAATTAGCGGAAATTTGGGTAAAAATGGAATAGTAGCACGGCTGCTTAGTCGTTATGGCCAATCACAAAGAGTGAATGCATCTGTGTTACTGAGAACCACCGTGTACCTGCCATAGCACAAATGGTCTCCAGACATGGGTTCTTAGCATCCTGAGGATCTCAACCAAGCAGCTTGTACTTCCCTACGTCACTAGCTCAAACCAACTACTGTCAAAGACTTCACGAATTGCTCCCAGGTTTTGGTTCGACTACCCGTAACCCTTTTCCAACCTAGTCCTATGCCGACTTACATCGCTCGTCGAGGAAGATGATCGACAGCTAGGTACGACGTCTTCACCACAAATGATACAAGTTGGCGAACTCCACCCACACCAGCCTCTTTTGTCTGTGTACTGATGCAAACACCTATGTTTAAGCTGGAATTCGGTGCAGGCCAGTCTTAGCGCATCATCTTATACGTTGTAATAGGAGTGGACCACATGAGAAATCTACTAAGATTTCTGACCAAGACATTTAGAGGTATTCTCGTTTTGTCAATGCCTCATCAATGTGGAGATGGCTGAAACATTCTGTTTGGTCTTCGCGAAACAGTTGAACAGCAATGTGTGTATTACCGGTACGGACGATAACGGCGACACTACTACTTCACCGGTGGAACACCTAGTGGATACTCTCCAAATAAACCCGGCAATAGTACTGCAGAAACTACAGAGTCACATCTGTAGAGTCCCCAGGTTGTGGTAACATCAGGACATCTGTTCTGAAACAGTGTGTCAAAGCTCTCTCTATTTCCTTATTCGACTTATTTCAAGACTCGGTGGATTAAGGAAAACTGCCAAGTGAGTGGGAAACAGCCATCCTTTCTCCAATATTCAAGGGTGGGGACAAGCGAAATGCCACCAGTTATAGACCAGTGGTATCAAATGTACTGGGAAGTATAATTGATGATCACATCAGGGAGCTCCCCGATAGGACTAATAGACTCCGTGAAGCACAACAGGGTTTCATGAAAGGCAGATCCTATGTAACAAACCTACTATCAGCTTGGGACGATTGGACATCATGGTGGGACATGGATATTCTAATCCATGTGGTCTTCTTAGACTTTCAGAATGCATTTGACACAGTTCACCATGACCTTCTCGTACACAAAATAAGTCAGGTAGGTATGAGTGATCCGCGTCCGTCATGGTTGAAGGACTACCTAGCTGGAAGGAAATCCTGCACTAAAGTCAATCGAGTCCGATTATTCTGCCACAGCTTGTCATCAGAGGTGTCAGAGTGCTCCATCCTAGGGCCACTGATGTTTTCGATTTTTATCAAAGACCTACCATGCCGTCTAAGCTGTCCGACTATTCTTTACGCTGACGACGTGAAGATTTGGAGAGCAATAAAGTGCTGAAAGGACTCAGATAGACTGCAGACAGACCTACAGCTTCTGGTGCTATGTGAAGTCAGTCTTTCCATGTTTTCAAGGTGTAACCTTGTTAGTCTTCATTTTGTGAAGATTGATATTTCTAGTCGGTGCCGTTGGATTATCCTGCTTATGGCTTTTGCCAAATCTTCGTAGTGTGATGTTATCAGGTGGAAGGCTGCATGAGACTGTGTTGAGACAGAAAAGTGTCGTACTGTTTTCGCTATCCGGAGATTTGATGTGTGAGACTGTGCCAGGGCGACAAAGTGGGCAAATGTACCATAACCACAGATACACGGGTTATTTCGAATAAATTCATTATATGGTTCTGACACCTCTTTGTCACTGTGTACCCATCGTTTGCGAAAATTGCATTCAAACGCTGAATCAGTTTTAGAAAGGACAACACTACATGCCTGGCTGGCATTCATCTCCATTTCCAGAAGACGATTTCGAGGTTTTTCGATTTTACCTAGTACTTTTTGGTTACTCGCCTTCACAGCAATCATGTAGCAGACCAACAAGTCTTGTAAACCTGAACGACCGAATGAGGAAGATTCTGCTACACATGTAGCACCTGACGTTATTGTAGTAGTTCAAAACACCTGAACTTACCCCACAGAGATTTGATATGGAGGTGGTCGTGGAATTCAATTCACCGGCTAGGAAGATCAGTTTTCTCACGCGGATAATTCACAAAAAATAGGTAGTTTCCGGTTAGAGAGGAAAATGCACGTCGTATTCAAGGATCATGCGATCCCTTGAATCGTGGTACGTTTCTGTCAATTTCTTTTGTTTGTTTATTTACCTCTGAGATGTGTTAGTAATCATACATGCTGCTCTTCTTCTTAATGTTGATTTCTAGAATTAATGGCTAGTGAGTGAACTGTTATTCCACAGAATTATAATTCACCCTTGTTTATACACAGTTATCTAGTGACCTATTTTTTATCTAAGTGATGTAATGTAAGCGTAATACATTCTATCTTAATTTAAATCCCTTCTTTTCCCTTACATATTCGAACATGACGTGAATAATACTCAAACTTGTCGTTTTCCATGATTAATTCAATGTAATTTATATGCTTTTTAGTCTTGTATCTCCCAATGTATTCCCAGTAGTAAATATATGTATATATGTTCTTTTATGTAAAGCCTTCAGCTGAAGAGTTCTACTGGACTTCGGCGAATTCGTTAAATCCTGCTTTATTAACCTTTGTTGCTTGTTATACATTCGTATCATGAAATAAATATTCCCATTTTTATTGATAATTACTCACGACAATTTACTCTCCTTCGATGGAAAGTACATTGTCTATTCACTTAGAAATGCAATTATTTTCGCTATAACAACTTCTATCATGAAAGATACGTCTAGTCAATTGGTAGCCATTCATTCGAGATTATCTTAAATTCGAAAGAATCAAGAATAACCAGATCATGACGTACCCACAGTCCACTGAGAATCAGTAGCTGTCTGACCGACTTATGTAGAGAGGTGTACATCACTTAGCTGGTGATTGATTACAAAACAACCAGAGTGCACAACCCGACTCATTGAGTGATGTAACTTCGGGTCTAGTTCACTGAGTTATGTCCATTCATAACTTGACTTGATATTGATAGCGTTATCATATTTCTGCATACTCTCTCTCTCTCTCTTAATGAGATTCCACTACTCTTGATTTTTTTCTATTTATTCCTATGCCGCTTGATTTCTTGTTTGCCACTTATATAGTATCAAGCAGATTACAAATTTTGAACTAAATAATTTTGGTTTCCGAAACAAAACCCGTGGTGACTTTTTACTTAGAACTGAGTGATTCTCAAATTGAGAATTTGATTCTTTGTGTTGTCAGTTTGCCCAAATGACCAGCCAGAATTCCAGTGGTTCGAAATAATACGACTCTATGATCGGAATCGATTTGCGTAAACCGATGATGAGCTCTACCCCTATAAACAGCTGTCCAGTGTTGAGATCACTTCAACACCTACCTGACAAGCACTACTGGTCGATTTGAATGGTCATTCAACTTTTCGTATCAATCGTAAGAGAATAAACTGTTTTGTTTTCGAATCGCCTTTTCGAGTGTTTGAATAGACATGTGGTGGTGTAGCAGCTCAGACTTGTTGGACAAATATTGTCAGTGTATCATTTTTACTATTATTATCAGTTTTATTATTATGATTTATTATCAGTTTTGTCACGCGGATAATGCACAGAAAATAAGTAGTTTGCGTCTAGAGATGAAATTGCACGTATTATTCACAAGTTTGTTTGGCTCTAGTTCTTCAGACCGTAGAGTTGTTGTTGAAATCTTTAGTACCTTCGATGAATATATACTTGATACCTAAGCTGATTACGTTTACGGTTTGAGGGAAGCACGTGGATTCCTTAAGGACCCAGTTAGTTAACTGAGTCGCAATTAATTCATGGCATCCAGACGTGATTTTAGTACCTAAATATCTTAATTATGTAATTGTCTAGCTTTTCAAACAATAGGAAATGACTTCAAAGTCAAAGTTGACAAAGTGAAGTATTCACTCATTCTACCTGCGATAACGAACAGTGCCATTTCAAATTATCGTAGTTCTAGGTCCTAGGTCATTACCATAACGCTTTCAATATTCATTGCTTCAGTGACGTGCCAGTATTAACGTAATGATATTTCGCACTCGATTTTTTGATGTTGCAACACGATTCTAGATTTTCGCAAGACGCCGATTCTGTCGATCTGTTCCTCGGTTTCAAGTAGGATGGATGAATACTGTGTGCATAGGACTGAAATTATCCGTAACTAACAAGGTCATTGGTGGAGTGAGACGCTCGAAGGTCATTTTCGTCCATGTTTGTTTGGAGCGACTTTATTGCATATCCCTTCAGTGACGCTTGTTGCTATGTTGCTATTGGTTTCAAGTGGCCTTGGTTTTGGGGGAAGATTTAACTGATGTAATATTTTGATTTCCTAGACATAACTCAGGCTCATAAGTGAAAAAATTATAACCCTGGAATAAGGACAAGTTGTTCAGAAGGTAAGGAGGACATTATTTTTCAGTTTATTTGTATATATACTATTGTGTATCGAGCTGCGCAGAGTTCTTAGTGCAACTGTATGTAACTGCATTTACATAAAGTAAAACATTACGAATGTTCCTGTTTTTGAAATAAAAACATGATTCTTTTCATTAAGTGTAGTAATGAAGAATGGAGTTTCTTCCACGTCAGTGGTATTTAATTGAAGAATTAATCTCTGTAGGCCCTTGAAGGAATAAATTCGGCACGGAGAACTCCTGTGGAAACCGAAAGCACTTTTAGTTTACTAAATCTTACTGACTCCCTGTATAAATTTGATCTGTCAAGTGTTTATATAAAGTCTGCTGGTGTATTCAGTAAAGTAAAAGTTGTAGTGCATAACTCCTAGACTTGTTGTAGTCATTGGTATTGCCAGGATACTACTTACTCGTTTTATGCAGCCGAAATATTCAATTCTCACCTTATTGAGGAAATACTATAGTGCCTGCAAAAGTAGTGCGTCAGTTTACGAGTTTCGTTAAGCCTACAGAATGTTTTCTATTCACTGAATACTGTTTGCGAATTATCCGAGAAAACACATTTCCGAGTGGGATGTTATACAAGGCTGAATTCTTAAACTGTCATCCTTATGTCAGTTCAATTCAATCACACATATATTAATAGGATATTCTGTAATTGACTTTAGAGACTTATCAGGGAATATTCTCATCAGCTTACGGTTTGCTGATGATATTGTCCACCTAGACTATGAGAAGTAACCTCTGATGCTGTAAAATATGAAAATAATACCGGTGTTTGATTATAGGTGTCCGCGTTCCATTTCATAAGTAAAGCAGTATAATATGGCGAGTGCTGTTGAGGTTACGTATAAATGTTCAGGTGGGCAGGGTTGGTCTTCTAGGTAGGGAAGCTGAATAGGTTGAGATGGCTAGAACACGTGATGGCATACAAAGCCATCGCCTTTCTCCAGGGACAATGCTAGCCAGCACATGTTAAGGTTTAAAATGTGTTTGGGTCGGTCAAATGAAAAACTAGTATTGGTTCATAAAATTGTTGACAGTCAGCTGGAAGAACTACCGGAGATGTGACTGCAAATCTTTGGTACTGGTACAGGTGCATTCACTCTGTGTAATCTCACGTATCTATTCAACTCATGTTTTTCCTTGTCACTATTTATTCTCCCTCACATTTTCGCTCGTTAAACTTCCATTTAGTTTTATGTCTCTACCTTTGTGTGCTACATGAAATGTGGTAAATTAAACAGGTGGACTTCTCTGCAAACTCATACTGAAAGCTAGTCAGAATGACACAGTCTGGGCATAACTAAATGAGAAACATTGATAAATGATCTCCAAAATTTCAACAAATGATAAGTGTAGTTCTTAATCTTGTTCTTTGCCAAATGAAAAATAGATACCTTTCAGTAATCTCTTCTTCCACCCGGGACTCGTCTCCTACTTTGCAACTGGATTTGTGCTTTTTCACTTTTGTGCTTAGCTTTCGGTCATTCAGCATTCGCCGTTGTTGTTGACTCAGCGCCTAGATGACTTTAGTTGAATAAGGTTTCGATCGTGCAAACTTGGGTCCTGGACAGTTGATTGTTTGCATTATCATTTCTCAAATGGAATGCAGCATACTGTATATTAGGGTAAATCTTCCGCCTCGCCTGCTGGAGCTGGTGTTCCTCAGGCTATTTTTATCACTCCTTTTCTTTTTTCTCTCTCGTCTTACATGACTTTTCTCTTTCTAATGAGAGCAACTTCGTCAAATACGCTGGTGATCTGATGGTCTCACTTTGTGTCATGTTACAATGTGACTGCAGCAAACTTAACTGGTTCCTGTTTGTAGTCTAAGGTACGTGGTCTTGCGTTAAATCCCGCTAAAAGTCAGGCAGTTAACTTTCCCCTCACTCATAAGCGTGAACTGCAAGAACTGTGTCGTTCACAAGATGTTTGTATCAAAGACGGCACTGAAACAGAAACTAAGTCTAACAGAAAATACCTTGGAGTAAATCTATCCTCTGGTCTTTCTTGGTCATTCTATATCTTGTCGATTTCTTCAGTCTAGCTTACCATGTCATGTATTCAAGACAGTCAGGAATCATTCAACCTCTCTTTTTACAACTTGTTAACTCTTGCATTGGTCTTTGCTGCTCCCCCTTATTCTTTCCTGAATTACTCAAAAACGACTATGTCGTATTGTGCAAGGTATTAAGGTTGTCAGTAGGGCAAGTGGTGTACCATTTAGTCAGCTCGTTAATGCATTAGTTAAAAGACATCTAAACTCATGCGAGAAATGGTCTAAATCTATACTGTCTAACCCTCAACATCCCCTCTATTCTCAGCTCTTCCCTTTAATTTCATCTGATGGAACAAGAAGTCAGTATCAAAGATCATACGATCGTTTTTGGAATTACGTAATTCCAAAAATTGTTGTCGTTTTCATTGCCATCAGTTCACAGCCTATTGAGTTTAACGTAAGTGGAATGCTCATTTCCCACTTTCCTGAGGAGACATCAGCTAGGATTCTAGGAAAGTAGCACGTGAGTATGCGAATTTCATGAATCTGTAGACTGCATTCCATTACTTATTACTGAAACTAAACTATGAAGGAACTGATATTTCAAAGAAGGATGTAGTACAAGGCTCATTTCTACAACTGTCGTCCTTATTTTAGTTCAATTTCATCATAAATGTATTAACCGAATTGTCTGTTACTCACTTTAGGCCCTTACCAGGGAACAGTCTTGTCAACTTACTGTATGCTGATGGTATTGTCCACTTAGGCTGCGATAAGTGACCATTGAAACTGGAAGATATGAAAAGACTACTGGTTTTTGATCGTAGTGTCTGTACCCTTTCTTCTGTGTTAAGTAGTCTAATATGGTGAGTAATATTGGGGTTAAGCTTAGTGTTAAGTAGAAATGTGATTCCAAACGTTGTTAATGACACAGATGCATTCACTCTATGTAATCTCACATATCTGAGCAACCCTTATATTTTTTCCATATGACTGTTTGTTTTTCATCACATTTATGCTCATTATAGTGACATTTAATTTCTTTTTTCTTCTACCTTTGTGTGCTACATGGAATGTGTTAACTTAAGCGGGTGCACTTGTGTGCAAGCTTCTATGTTGAAAGTCAGTGTGTCAGAATGGCCTATAGTCCAGGTATAATGAAATGCTAAAACGTGGATAAAAAAAGGCAAAATGTCAACAAATGGTAATCGTATTTTTTCATTTAGTTCCTGTCTAACTGAAAAAAGTGATCTTACAATAATTTCTCCTCTTACCCGAGATAACTCTCACACTCTGTCTCGTTATATCTCATGAGTTAGTTAACTTTATTGTGTAGCCCAAATGCGAAGTCGAAACACATCTGATGAAATATGTTTTGCTTATTACCAACCAAATATAATATTTTTCAAGTGTGGAACGTCACAAATCGAACTGCTACACTTCTGTGCTCATTTCCATGTTAAAACTCAGTCAGTCAGCTTTGTCACTGCAGATGCGTAGTGTCACAACTACCTAGTGTTAATTAGCCTAAACAATTATTCATGCCGTTTCCTAAGTACTCTGTGCATTTCCCGATTCCTTAAACTGTCCAGATAAAGTGCACCGAAGAGGAAAACATAAACCAAAAGTCAGTAACACGGACGTAAGAAATAGTGTGAATAGAAGTGAATGAGATGAGTGACCTTCTATCCCTGTAGTACGCTTAACTAAAATACTCATGTATATGAATGAGGCAAAAAGTTGTGTGACTGACTTGATATGATCATGAGCAATAGTTTGTGCTCAAAACGCCACCAAGTAATATTGCTGTACAACACTGTGTGATTTATCAAAATAAAATCGTATCCATAATGGAGTTATACTCTACCACAGTGCCCAAATTTTATACTTATGTCAAAAATACTTATCTTATGTGTCTCCTAATTGTTTCCTTTTTGTCTTCCTCATTGCAGGTTGTCAGTCTCCGTAGACATTCTACTAGATGTCGTCATACATAGTGTCTGCAAGCAGTCTTTCAATACATCTACCTCCCGCAAAGTTATTGTTACGATGCCTTTAAATCATTTACACTTGGCCGTAATACAATTAGTGTGCTAATATTACTGATGCAATGACATGCAAGACTTGTACATGTTACTGTGAAGTTAGCTTGTAATAACATTCCCTCCATAGTAAATAGAATGCTTGTGATAACAATTCGTCATTATCTTTTCATTGTGTTGATAGTTGCGTATATATTAGAAAAAAGCTAACCTTGTCGTATCAGTTCTCTAAATTACAATCACTAAGTGCCCATACCTCTGCTGAATACCAAGTGCTACTCGTGGCCCATGAAATACTTATTACTGCATTCGGAAATAACAATCAAACTATTATTACATGGAGTAGTTAGACAGAAAGCGTATGAAATTTAGATATTAGTGTGTATCTGAAGTTAACGACACAATATATATGTGGATTTTTCATTTCCAAACTAGAGAATTTTATAGGGTAATGTAGGAGTGAGCGCAATGAGTTAATAAT